CCTTTTACAGTTGCTTTTTGTGTCTCTGCTTCTGTCTTGAACCCCAGTCGGCCTCAGCAGATGGCCGCTCACACTGAGCCTGGTTCTGCTGGAGGTTTCTGTCAGGATTTGGTTTAAGTTTGAGGACCCAAATACAGAGACAGAGAAGGTGAGGTGATTTCTTGCAGTTTAATTGAAAAATACAGGTAACAGAGGCAGCAATCTAAAAACACAACTAAAAATGTTAACAAGCCAAAAACCATGGAGACATCCGGGGAAAACGAGCACGAGGAGCCAGGGAGAGACGAGGTAAGAAGACAACAGCGACGAGGAACCAGCAAAGGGTGACAGCAGAGGGAGAGTATATATGGCTGACTAAACAAAGGCAGAGCTAACGAGCTGATAAGGAGCAGGTGTGAGTTGAGATAACGAGGAAGCCAAGAGAAAAGGAACACACACAGGAGGGCGACAGAGGACATCAAAGAAAAATTAAAATATATCTAGAAACACAAAGTATGAAATAAACCAATGAAACACACGGATCAAAGTTAAACAGAAAGTAACACTTTGACAGTTTCTTCCTGTTAAAAGGGAGTTTTTCCTCTCCACTGTCGCTACAAGCATGCTTAGTGTGAGGTTTTGTCTTTGAGTCAATGAATCGATGCAATCAACTGGTGTTCCTTAGATAGAAATCTTTAAATCACTTCGACAGTATGATCTGGTGAACTGTAAAGTGCCTTGAGATAACATTGTGTTGTAAATTGGTGCTATATAAATAAACTGAATTGAATTGAATTGCTTGAAAGTTTGCATACCCTCCCATTAGAGAAAATTATAAATTTACACAAATGATTAAATTAACACAAAACTTTTTTTATTATTATTTTAAAGGAAGAGTATGTAAGCTCAACTGTATATAGTGTCCAGTCATGTGTCTAAGAAAATAAATGTAGAGAAAGTAATGAGGTAAAAACAAAGCATTTATTTAACCTTAGTGTACAATTGAATACAGAGTATAGCTTTCAGAATAGGTACAGTCAAGATCCTTTTAATGCAAATATCCATACCACACTTTGCAGGGTTATATTCGTAAAAGATTTTGCAAACCGTTTTACTTTACATTTGATTAACAGTTATGGGTTTTTTCTTATATATCTAAATAAAAACATCAATAAAATTCACTGAAGTTTGTGGTTGTGATATTTTAAAAGAAGAAAAACACTGTGAATACTTTTTTTAAGTCACTGTATACACTGTAAAGGATTTCAGTAAATTTAAGACCAATTTTAACAATGTCTGTAATATCTGTAGAATAGCTGTAAAGTGCTGTAAAAATCACATAGTTTGTTAATTTGCAACAACAACAAAAAAAATCAATAATTCTGATTCAACTGGACCTTCACAGCATACTAAAGTATGCCATTATCTGAGAGAATTCTTTTGATTAGTGTTTCCTCCTGGTTCTCTTCTGAAGGTATCATATTTTTAAGAATCGGCCGACTCATGTTGAGAGACAAGATTTTTTTGTGGGCTTGTTTATGGACAATGCATTTCCCCTGCTTTAGTCTGCAAGTTCAGAAGCTAAGTTTATACATGTCATAAATTGGTTTGTACATAGGATTCTTGAAATGCTATCAGACAGTGTAACAATGTAAAGCCCAGTTGCACACTTCATGCATCTTTTAAATGTTTTTTTTCCTGGATTTCATAAAACTTTCTAAATGTTCAGAAAATTTAAGTGTTAGGGCTACCACAACTAACAATAATAGTTGCAAAAACATCTCTCTCTATCTTATGTCTAGTGAGATCTAACATTATGTATGCTGTAGAGAAATTGGTGCTCTCTAAAAGACAGGATACTGGACAGGAAGTGGCAGAGAAGAGAAGGTTATGACAGTTTGATCAGGCTGAAGAGGGACAAATAATGTTGAAGATTGAGATGTCAGGCAAAGACAACTCTGTCTTCCATATTACCCTGTTGTTGCTACTTTTACCTCATCTTTATACTATTGATGACCCCTTCTAATCAGCAACCAATGATGTTTTCATAATTTAAGTAAAACCTGACATTAGGAAATGAGTTATTGTCTTTTGTAAATAGAAATAAATGCAATAAAATGTTTTATTGAATATGTGTTTGTCATTTTTGTACATTTCAAAGGACATATGGGAATTTGGACAAGAATTTATCTTTTCCAAATTGACATGTACATTCTTTAAAAACACAATGAAATTATTAATTTACTGCATCCAATACGCTGTTAAAATAGGCTACTGTGTATTAACTGTAAAATGTATTCTCCAGGTGCACAATGTTTATAGTAATAATTATAATTAATTAAACTTTATCGATCTCACATTGAAGAAATTTACCTCTGCATTCAACCCATTCCCTTGGGGAGCAGTGGGCTGCCAGTTAGGGGTCTTGCTCAGAGACCCAGAATGGCAGTCTGTGGGAGTGGGGCTCGAACTCAGGTCCTTAGGATTCCAAGCTCTAAGCCCTAACGCTTAGGTCACCACTCTCCCCCAATTTGGTAAAAACACTTTACAGTACAGTATTTTATTTGTTTATTTTTTGACACTTAACTTTTATGTTATTTGTATACAGTTTTTTAAGATCCACACTTTTACTATAATGTATTTGCTGCTGTAATACCAGAATTTCCCCATTTTGGGAGAATAAATGGATTTTCCAATCTATTCTATTCTATAACGGTAAAATGGTTATTTTATTGTTGGTTATTTTACTGTTAATTCACTTTAACCTGTCAGCAATTTGCTGTTTGTTTTATTTTTTCTTCCTTAACAGTGTACTGTATGCAAAGCATTGATAGCTTAGGCAATGAATTTCAGTTTTTGGCTTTTGCACTTTGTGGAGTCTTTTTTTATTTCTGTTTTGTATTGTTGTGGAATGAGAATACATAGGCTAAGCCTCATCAGTTATGATTCAATTTTTTTTTTTTTAAGGAATACTGCATAGAAATTAAAGTAAGTAATTTAAGTTAATTTAATCAGAATGCAGATATCATATTCTGGATGTTTGGTTGTCCTAAGACCTTTGTTATGTTAAAATAATTATATTTTTTATGATTATGGCACAAAGTTCTAATTCGGCATCAACGGGGAATTACTGGGAACTACATTTGATAAAAAGCTGCTCCAACAGATTACCAACTGTTTACAGCTGTTACACTTTATTATAAAAGCATAGTTGTTGCATACTAAACTAGACGGCAAATGAAACATTTTTGCTGTTCTCACACAAAACCACAAGAGGGCAGAATACGCTAACAAGAATAACAAGCCGCCACTGAAAATATGTCAAAGAACAACCATCAGGCACGTTTAATGTCCGTTTACGTTACAAATAAATGCAAAACACAAATTGATTATATAACAATGAGCAACGAAAAAGCTTTATTTAAATATTTTGTGTGAATGTGCCGTCAAAAAAAGCTTTTTAGTCCTGTCCTACACGAATCGGCTGATCAGCACCATGGACAGCGACTCGTTTCAGCACCACGGAAAGCTCATTCATGCTGAAATCTCTAGTGAATGCTTTAATCGTGCGGAGTGTTTAAAGTGTAATTCCATGTTGTTGGTTAATTTGCCCGCTCTGAGGCTGTGTGGCTTTAGAAATAAAACATTTTCCATTTCTTTCCATCCTCTTTCCTTTCTAGGTCACCTTGTTTCAGATCTTGGCTCATTTTACTCAGATCCACGCAACAAGATGATACTACAAGCTGCCCACTCATGTCTGGGTTTTCCTCAAATGGGGAGGGGGCAGTGGGGGGGAAGAGGCAGGATTTCGATTCACATGGAGGACAGCGTCACAAGGCGTACGTCAAAGATTGGGGGTTTCAAAAAAGTAAAGGGGGGGCTGGCGGGATGTTGTAATTTAACCCTTATTTCTCAACTCAGTAATATGGGTGAGCAATCAGCAGGACTGAAGCACGTCTAGGAAACTGGGGTGACCCATTTAAACCTCTTTAGTTTTAAAATATCCTGCTCTTTGCTTTATTTGATAGAAAACTAAACATTTTAAACAAGACATCCATACGTCTTGAGTTGGTTACCCAGCAACAAAATCAGATTCACACTTTATATGACATATGCATAAAGATACAGTGTGCAAAAAATATTTATTATATTTTCATATTCATTGATTATTTCAGTGTAGTCCTGTTTCTCTGACTGGGACAAACTGGATGTGCTCTCTTCGACCTCTGAGCTGGCTCAGAGCTGTGTTTCCTGGACCCACCGTTTACAGTTGCCTTTTGTGTCTCTGCTTCTGTCTCCTTGAACCCCAGTGGGCCTCAGCAGATGGCCGCTCACACTGAGCCTTCTGCTGGAGGTTTCTTCCTGTTAAAAGGGAGTTTTTCCTCTCCATTGTCGCTACAAGCATGCTTAGTGTGAGGGATTGCCTTCGCGTCAATGAGTCGATGCAATCAACTGGTTTTCCTTAGATAGAAAACTCTAAATCAATTTGACTGGATGAACTGTAAAGTGCCTTGAGATGACATGTGTTGTGAATTGGCGCTTTAGAAATAAAGTGAATTAAATTTAATATTTTTCCAGCTCAGAAAGTAGAGAAGGAAATTATTCTATGGGTTTAATATTAGGACTCTGCATAACATGACTTTAAAAATATGAAACAAGCTAGTGCCTTTGTAAATGTGTCTTGTACATACAGGCCAGATTAAAGCATTAAATATCCAAGTGATTTACTATTATCTTGTGGGAAAGAAAGCATAATTAAATTTTGATCTTGAAAACTATGTAAAAAAAAAAAAAAAAAAAAAAGGAACAATTGCCTTCCTATGTGTACAAATTATTTACAGCATTTCGGGTAAAAAGAATCAGGCTATGAGACTGGCTTGTTAAGTGATTTTTAACATCTGGACTGATCGATAGAGGAGGCGACTGATGAGGGTGGAGAGAATAGACTGAAAGGGAAGGGAGGGTGTGGATGGGGGGGTGAGCGTGAAGAAGCGAAGAAGAGGAGGAGAAGGACGGGGGGGGGCATACGTGATATTCTGAGCCGCACTGTAAAGGGGGCCGTCCCTGTTCAGTGGAGATCTGCCGGAGGAAGGCCCATCTAAAGATCATCAGAAGATATCACCGATTCAGACGCTAGTTTGACGGGAGGGTGACACCGGATCATAAGGGGACAAGTCAAAGGCTGTCTGTAAAGAGGTGAGCGCGGATTTCACACATTCATTCCCATCGTTCATTTTATCATTAGACATATAGAGGTCACCAGCATTTGATGGCCATGCCTCGAAGCATCGTCATGCATAGTAAGACACCGGTTTGCACGGAGCATCAACACATTGAGCGGTTAAAATGTAAAGAAGAGAAAAGCGATGAATTCGGAGCATAACGGAAACAGCTCATGTGGTTTGGACGGATAGACGTGATGCACGATCAGGCGGTGTAACTTGATGCATATAATTAGGCTGCAGATGCTGGATGAAGGATGCTTGACCTACATGATAGATTTTGAAGAATTGGTGCCTAATATCGCATCAAGCTGTTAATCTGCAGCTTTAAGCTGCTCTCATTTAATATTAGTCTGTTTGCTGTGTGTCCTCGTATAGATGCTGCATGCATCTATAGTGCCCCCCCTCCCCCAGCATCATGGTGTGGCTTTAACACATATGGTCAATTCAACCATTTAATTTAATGTAGGACAGTATGACATGTAGTCCCTTATATGGACAAAAATGAGGCCAGGTGCAATGGCCTATTGTAATCGCGCGGCTATTGTGAGTAACATTTAATACGTGCAATAATTAATGAGCCCTTCCACGATGAGCAATTTCATTCAAATATATTTTTCCCTTTAAATATTTCATGCACTGACAGGGTTTGAAAAAAATGGGGCTGAATGCATGAGTGAGCAGAGAGAGGTTTTTACCACAGGCTGCAGGCTGAACTGCAGCCGTCACGACCAACCACAGGAGGCGGTGCTGCCTTTTTCCACTACCTTCAACCAATGCTCCTCTACAATACAGCCACGCTTTTTAAAACACAGCAACAGTATATTTACTCCAGCAGTTAAACGTTACAGATAGATAGATAGATAGATAGATAGATAGATAGATAGATAGATAGATAGATAGATAGATAGATAGATAGATAGATAGATAGATAGATAGATAGATAGATGGATGGATGGATGGATGGATGGATGGATGGATGGATGGATGGATGGATGGATGGATGGATAGATGGATAGATAGATAGATAGATGGATAGATAGATAGATAGATAGATAGATAGATAGATAGATAGATAGATAGATAGATAGATAGATAGATAGATAGATAGATAGATAGATATGATCCAAGCAAAACCCTATTGTTAACACGTACACAATCATCTCATTTACAGTAGGTAAATGAGATGATTTACCAACGGAACGAGTACTCTTAAAATAAGATAATTAGATACTATGCATGTGAAACATGCATAGTAACCTCCTCAATTCCAAAAAAAATACACTTATTTTAAGAGAAGAATTCTTATTTAGATTTCAAAATGTTCGCATAATGTAGTCTGTGATTGACTGACTGCTCATATGGTCCATCTTTCCACAGTAGCTCGGCCAAGATGGATGTGTTTATGAAGGGTTTGTCTAAAGCAAAGGAGGGGATGGCTGTGGCTGCAGAGAAGACCAAGGAAGGAGTTGCAGTGGCAGCTGAAAAGACCAAAGAAGGGGTTATGTTTGTAGGTAAGATGCTCAGACTGCTGTTATTTTCTTGCAAATCATATAAAACATCCATTGAGGCTGATCATTCATCTCCCTCTCTACACAAGAGGAGCTAAAAAATGCAAAAAAGTCATGTTTTTGCAATTCAAATAATTCTTTGCATGTTTTATTTTGTTTATTCTTAACACAAATTTGCAAGTTATACAGGAATCTCTCTAACTAGCTTGGTGGATATAATGCATTTTCGCACAAAATGAAATCAAGGGAAAGGAGAATGCTTTGTTTTAAGTATCCGTTCAATTTTAAATTCCAATAGGAGGATACTGATGAAACTTTCTGAGCTAATTTGTCTTCAGAGAGGGTGATTCATCATATTGCTTATAACAGAAATATGATGACTCACCTAATCAATACCTTTGTGTAACTAATTTCCAATGAGCCTGAATGAGCTTGAATATATAGCAGTTCCATATCAAATCAAGTACAGCAACACAGAACCAGTTATAAATTTCAGTTGTGCCATTGTAATAAATAATGCATATGGTTTATGGGTGGGTTTATGTTGGGGTTTTATTAATGCATGTTTTGCATGCATGTTTCAAATAGTAGTTCAAAGATGGGGTTTGGAGATTAGGCATCTAAGGGGTGCTTTGCAAATTGTACAGCTGTAGATTGTTAAAGGCTGGTTTTGTGGTCAAACAGGCTTAAACAGACTAATGGCAGGGTAACATTTCCTTCCTTTCTAGCAAAAGCTAATTTTCTTACTGGATATCTTCACTATCATTTGCCTTGATGTGTGCATCTCTTTTTTTGCAGTGTAACTGCAGCGTAACTGTAATGAAAATAATATAGCATGACTGGAAACACACTATTATGCCCTTCATCTAAGTCTAAACCTACAAACCAGGAAAGGAGAAGGCAAAAGCTCCATGGTAACTCTGGAAGAGCCCCTGATCAACAGCTTAGGAAAGATTATCTGTCGACAGGAAAACGCTATGATCTTTCTTATATCAAAAATCCGATTTCAGGGCTAACTAGAAAAACTTAGACATACCTTTATGTAACTCTCTTTAGAAACACTCTCAGATTCAATCTGGAAGTTCCCAAGGTAACCCTTGGCCTAAAGAACTTTATTATCCCTACAGTGAGTTCTTGATGTACAGCTGTGTCTCATTCCAACGGTAAATGCTCAAAAAATCCTCATAAGACAATCAGCCTGCAGGCATCCTGATTCTAGACCATCTTGACTGCTTCTTTTAGTGTGGAGGAGCAGCAGCTGTACTCTGAGCTATCCCTGGTTCACGGATCTTTTTGCTCGATACCTAAGGTTGAATTTTGGCTTCTTGCTGAGGAACCTCAGCTGCAAGTATCTGGGATCTCCTCCTTCTGTCATGACAAGTATTTGTTGTAAAATCCACAAATCTTGGAAGAAAAAAGAAATTTGTTAGAATAAAACCAGAAATACAATTTCCAGTTTTGTAATGGCCAGGTAGGGCGCACAGCAAACAGACAATTTGGTCAAATGGGAATATTTTTTTAAAATAGTTGCTGCCCTCATACCCAACACTATGTTTGGTTAAAAAAAAAAAAACGATGGCAATCACCCTGAATTCACCATCCTCTGAATGAAACAGGATGATGGTAATAGGATAATGTTTGGCAACTGGTTAAGATTATTTTTTAAGTACATTCCAGGGGCATAAAAGCAGAATAAATAATTAAAGAGAATGAAAATGGCTAGTTAAATTAAGAATGTTATACGGAATATTAAAAGGGAAGTTAGGCTGAAAACCAAACTAATGATGTTTAGATTGCACAGTTGAAGGCAACTCAACCCAAACAAGTACATTTTAAAGCAACTTAGTGTTTCAGCATATTTACACTTTTTGTAGGTGAACCAAAAGATGCTTCTCCATATTTGGTTCTGGTTATGTAGATTGGATCCAGAATACCTGAGAGGTCTGAGTCTTTCATACACTGACCACAAAGTCTGCAATGCATTTTGGTGATAAGTCATTTTGTAATTTATAAATTGACAGAAACATTTTGAAGATTTTTTTTCTTGAGATTCTGGGATTCTTTCTATGTTAAGCCCTCCTCTATGCCGTTGTCTGCTGGGCCCCTGGTAGCACAGAACGGGACAGAAAGCGACTGAACAAACTGGAGAGAAAGGCTGTTTCTGTCGTAGGCTGTGCTCTGAACTCAGTGGAGGAAGTAGCTGAGAGGAGGGTGCTGTCCAAGCCTCCATCCATCATGGACAGCACCTTCCTCCCTTTGCATCGTTATTCATCCCTGCGGCAACAAGGCTCTACAATGCGACACTACAACAGCAATAACTTGTGCAATATCTAATGCGCAATTACTATTTAATACCCTGTGTAATAACTTGTTTTTATATTTTATTACAAGTGCACTAGCTTTATATATTAATACCCATGTAGGTAAATACCCATTTAATGCATTGTGCAATAACCCTGTATAAAAATCCTGCTAAATAAGCTAAATAAGAGACTAAAGCAGTTTTATATCCATATATGTGGATGTACTGTATATACTGTATGTACCACTATGCACCTTTTCCTCCTTTTGGCATCTTTTCTTCTTTTTGACTATTGAGCCAATGTAACAAATTCATTTCCCCAGTGTGAGATCAATAAAACTAGCTCCTCAGGTGGCTCTGTCTAGTAAAGAAACAGTTAAGCTGACAATCTCTGAGACAGTTTTAATGTCAAAGGAGTGAAGCTATAGGCCATGAGCTGTGGGCTCAGCTTTTACTGTGACTAGGAGAGGAACAGGACTAAGCACTAAAAAAGCAGCATAGCTGATATTTCTCTACGGAATACCGTCACCGCAAATCAGTAACAAACCAGAAGAAGCTGGTCTGTTACCAGGTGAGAAAAGGAAGGGAGATTATATGTTATGGGTTGAATAGAAAAGTGATCTAATAAAGCAGAATTATGAAAAGTGGTGCCTGTGTCCTCCAGCAGCCTAAGTCTATAGCAGTGTATAGCTATAGCTTAAGATAACCTGAGCTACTATAACCATAAGCTTTATCAATAGTAGAGAGGGTTTCTGATAGTAAAGAATTACAATAGTGAAGCCTAGAAGAAACAAATCATGTTATTTCTAATTTTTAGCTTTAAAAAAGCAAACTCATTGCTGTTGAAGCTAACTGCTGACTTTCTAGCCAGCTTTCCAGTCAAATCCTGAAGCTAGTACTCAACAGTACCTTATAAAATTACATTTCTACGTAATTTTGTAAGGCACAGCTATGTGAAGCTTTATATAATATAAGATAATCAATAAGGTCAGAAAAAAAGCTGAGTAAGTGACAAACCTTGCTCTGTACTGAATTTAATTAGTTCGGTCTGGTCTCACCAGATGTTGTTGAGGTACAATTAGTGGGTGGTGCTGTGTTGTACTTGCTTGAACATCAAGGTGTTGGGATGTCCAAAATAAACCAACACAACATAACAGAAATCAGAACCCAACAGCTTATAACTTCATGCCCAACAGAAATAATGCAGCAAATTGGTTTTCAGAATACCCAATTCACTGAAAACAACCCTATTAAATTATCCAACATCCTCAACCTAGCAGTTGGGTTAAAAAATACATATATTGGTTGATAGAAAGGGAACTTTGTTTCTGCCTTTATGTGCGTTTGTAGGTTCAGGTCTTACTTTATCACTTAACCAAGGTTTTTGGACCGATTGTTGGTTTATATCTGTATTGATTGAAGCTGTGTGTTTTAAATGCAATTCCTTTCATCCAAAAAAGAAGACTTTAGTTTGTTTTGATTCAGCTGGAGATTATTTTTTTGCATTTACTAAAGATTGGAACGGGTAAATGTGAACAAATGTTAAATTCCTAGAAAGATGAGGATTCCAAACTAGCAGATGCTCAACAACATAGTGGAAGAAAACACATTCATGTGCCATAACTAAATTGGCAAGACTTTAAATTTATGTTCAGGGATAATCTCCATCTTGGAGAATAATTGACAGGAATTTCCCTCTTTAGATGCAAAAAGCTGGTCAAGATTTAACGCAAAAGATTCGCAGATACAAATAGATATTTCCCATGTATTTCACTTACATTCCACAACTACACACTGCTTTGTGTTGGTCGGGAGCATAAAATATCAATAAAATGCACAATATGAGAGGTTCAAATGGATTAAATATCTATAATGCCTGGCAAGGCCTAAAAATAGCATCTTAGCTATCCATTACGGTTAAGGCTGTGTGTGTCTCAGAGAATGAGAGAAAAGCTGTAAATTCTTCTAGGGTTCTATTCTAATGATAATTCAGTTTGTCCCAATCTTAACCAGCTTGTTCTTTTTGTTTTGCAACTGTTAACTTTTTTGGTGCACTCAAGAGATCTTGGCTATTTATAGTGAAATAAGTCAGATGTGTCAGCTTATAGATGGCATCTCGCTACCCAGCACATTTGGCAAAGTGTCCCTGTCATTCAACAAGACTCCCAAATATGTCAGGCTGCAGTCAAAACATGTTTGAGCTCATTTCCATTGTGCCCACGCTGCACAGCCAGGAAAACATATATAATTTCGCCTTCTTCTCTTTCACCGCATGATGTTGCCCTGGAAAACTACTCATGTGTTTGTTTAAAGGCTCCTCTTGAAGGAGGGGTAAAGGTGATTTGATTAATCTGAGACCTTCCTTTTGACAGTTGCTGCTGCTGGAGAACACCCACCCAGCTGAGCAGAATGTAAGAGGATGCAGGTTATCATTTAATATTGCATTAAACAGTCAAAATTAAAGATCCATACATGTTCTTATATTGTATAGTATAGAAATAAAAACAGAGAGCAGGAATATGTATAACTGCAGTACTTTTTTCATTATTTCTGTTGCATTAATCTTTGCAATTCTGAGTGCATAAATACTGATACATATAGTAACAGCTTAAAGCTATATATATTAAGAAAAAAAGTATTTGAACACCCTGCGATTTTGCAAGTTCTCCCACTTAGAAATCATGGAGGGTCTGAAAATCTCATCGTAGGTGAATGTCCACTGTGAGAGACATAATCTAAAAAAAAGTCCAGAAATCATAATATATGATTTTTTAACAATTTATTTGTATTATACAGCTGCAAATAAATATTTGAACACTTGTCTATCAGCTAGAATTCTGACTCTGTTAGTGTACCTTAAAAATGTCCAACTCCACTCCATTTATTAACCTAAATTAGAGGCACCTGCTTGAGGTTGTTAGCTGCATAAAGACACCTGTCCACCCCAGACAATCAGTAAGAATCACACTACTATAATGGCCAAGACCAAAGAGCTTTCCAAAGACATTAGAGAAAAAATTGTACACCTCCACCAGGCTGGAAAGGGCTAAAGGGAAATTGCATGCAGCTTGGTGAAAAAAGGTCCACTGTTGGAGCAATCATTAGAAAATGGAAAAGGCTAAACATGACTGTCAATCTCCCTCAGATATCACCTCGTTGGTCTCAATGATCCTAAGAAAGGTGAGAAATCAGCCCAGAACTACAGGGGAGGAGCTGGTCGATGACCTGAAAAGAGCTGGTACCACTATTTCCAAGGTTACTGTTGGCAATACACATCATGGTTTGAAATCATGCATGGCACAGAAGGTTACCCTGCTTAAACCAGCACATGTCAAGGCCCCATCTTACGTTGGTAATGACCATTTGGATCATCTAGAGGAGTCATGGGAGAAAGTCATGTGGTCAGATGAGACCAAAATATAACCTTTTGGTCATAATTACACCAAGGAGGAAGAAGAATGACGAGCACCATCCCAAGAACACCATCCCTAATGTGAAGCATGGGGGTGGTAGCATCATGCTTTGGGGTATTTTTTGCACATGGGACAGGGCGAATGCACTGTATTAAGGAGAGGATAACCGGGGCCCTGTTTTGTGAGAATTTGCGTAACAACCTCCTTCCCTCAGTTAGAGCATTGAAGATTGGTCGAGGCTGTGTGATCCAACATAACAATGACCTGAAGCACGCAGCCAGGATAACAAAGGAGTGGCTCTGTTAGAAGCATATCAAGGTTCTGGTGTGGCCTAGCCAGTCTCCAGACCTAAACCCAATAGACAATCTTTGGAGGGAGCTCAAACTCTGTGTTTCTCAGCAACAGCCCAGAAACCTGACTGATCTAGAGAAGATTTGTGTGGAGGAGTGGGCCAAAATCCCTCCTGCACTGTGTGCAAACCTGCAGGAAACATTTGACCTCTGCATTTGCCATCAAAGCCTAATTTAGTAGATGCTAACATTGATTTTCTTAGGTGTTCAAATACAGCACAAACAAATAGATCATACATTGTTATTTCTGGATTCTTTTCTTCAGATTATATCTCTCACAGTGGACATGCACCTACGATGCCAATTTCAGACCCCTCCCCGATTTCTAAGTGGGAGAACTTGTGAAATATCAGTGTGTTCAAATATACTGATTTTTCTCGCTCTATTAAAGTACAAATTCATTGGAGACTCTGATAAAGCTATGTAAAAACACTTTACAAATATTAGCAAATTTAATTGAATGCTCTATTGATATGCTTTGAGAAATGCTTACAACAATTTTAATGTGTGTGAGGGCAAGGTAAACTGAAGTCCTTGTCCAGCAACGTTTTCTAAGGCCTGTTATATATTTAAAAATCATAGGATTTTTCTCACTAGAGACATTAGTTATTATTTGTGATCTAATCTTTGTGTGTTTCTATGGTGTGGTTTTCTATTTTAACAAAAATGGCTGAAAGAATTGAGTCACTCTGTATTTTTAGAAAGACCTGAAAACTTGCATTTATGTTTCTTTATATTTTGAGAGAGTATCTTTTACCAATGTGTATATATATATATATATATATATATATATATATATATATATATATATATATATATATATATATATATATATATATATATATATATATATATATATATATATATATATATATATATATACCTGTACAGTATTATAATATCTGGCCTCCTGATGTCAACTTAGGCAATTTCAAGTTCTGTTTAACAATAATAAAAAGAAGGTATCAGAAAAGCATTAACAATATATAGTTGTTGTGTTCCTGTTTTAATTTGATAGTAATTTGAATTGGTAAAAGTGTTATTAAAGTGTGAATGAGACCGGAGTAAATGTAAACAGGGCCTTTGCTGTTGTAAGAAACAGACAAAGGTCTACAGACTTGACATGGTGTCTTTACATCACCAGTAGAAGATGCCTTTAGCATCTGACATTATTGAGCCTTACGTCAGTTAGCACAGCTAGCATTACATAACTGCTCTTGTCCTAGACAAGAGCAGCTTAAGTTTTATTTTCAAAAGGGTATGAATATTTTTCTTTTCTTTTTAAAAAAGGTGAAATTCCTTTTATATAACACAGTGTATGTCTCTCCCTGTCTCTTACTTTATTGCAACACAAGTAACAGATGAAAAATATTTTAATTTTGAATAATTTTTTAGATCTTCCTGCTTCTACACAATTTATAAAAAAAATGCTCTGACACTGGAAATAGCTAAAGTCTTCTTCTCTCATTAACAGTATTCACACTAAATGTGTCGTCAGTGTTACCTAACATGGCTTACACATAGGGGGTGGACTGATAAGTAAAAGACTGGATGATTGATTTAACCTGAATTCTCAACAGAATGGCAATAAAAGTACCTAATTTTATTTTTATGTTTTTTATAGGGGGGGTTCTGTTTTTCTATTTTGTTCTGTATTTTATATTAATTTACACGTATTTCAGTATCATTTTGATGTTTTAATCCCAACTATGATTGATTTGAACCACATTGTGACATGAGCTGCAGGATGTTTAGATGGGATTGCATATTGTTTTGCGGAGAAAATCCTGTACTTCATCCATATTTGTCTCTCCTTGGTCGTCTGCAGCCAATCAAAAAGTGTGTGCTGTGCACCAAAAAGGATGACAGGCACTGATGGATCACTATGCACACACAGCAGCATGCTTAAATACCTTCAGAGCAGATTGATGATGTCTGCTAAAGGTCAGGGACCTGACAATAACTTCATTGTAGTTTAAACCGCCTATAAAGTGTTTTTAACTGAAAGGTTAATAGTTCTTATTTACGTCCTACTGTCACTGAATAATACATGAACCATGACGCAGTTTTATTTCAATTCTGTCTGGTAGTGACATCAGTTGTGATCAAGATTATTATATTCTCTGGTGATCAAGAAAGAAGCTCTGACAGAAAATGTTAATTTTGGGGATGGGTGATTCTTTGATTTTATTGAAGAATCATATTTTTTGTAAATTGCATTTTTGGAAAGTCTGGATTTTTTTTTTTTTGCCAACTAACTTTTGGGGTTTCAAAGCTCAGACTGACATCATTTAACCACATTTTGTTCTTACATGTGTACTCATTACAGATAAACTAGCTCACTGTGTGATATCACTAAGTACAAAATTTACTCTTTTATTTTTTTATATTTCACTCCTTGGATTGCATTGCCCTTTAAACTATGGTCATCTCCCAGAAGGGATGATTGAAATCAAAGCTATAATTTATGTTGTTTTCATTTTTTAATGTTAAATTTAGGTGAGGGGAAAAAAACAGGATTAAGAGGGTTTAGATTTAAAAGAAGAAAAAACAATTTTCTTATTTCTTGTACATAACATCTGATATCATATTTTAAGGGCAAAATAACTAATTTAATTTAAAAAATCATCTTATTTATATGCTCAAATTAGGGCAAATGCACATATTGTAAGAAACAATTATAGAAAATATTTCTAGATATGTTTTTGTGGTGTTTATTAATAATTTCTAAATGTCAAATGGGTCCAAAAGTCTATTTTCTTACTGTTTTCCTTTCTATTCCTTTATTCAGGTAGCAAGGCCAAAGACAGCGTGGGCTCAGGTGAGTTTCTGGTAGTACTCTGTTCATTAATCCCATCCCTGATTTTTTGATGAAGCTATGTTCTGCAGATAAAGTTTTAGTTTTGACTTAATGATGATTCTGTTTTAACATGATAATAAAAACATAACCATCTATAAACATAGTTGGAAGCTACTGAGCCGCTTCAAACCGAATCACAAAAAATAATATAAGCACAGTGAAACTGAAAATGACAAAGAGGTCCGCCCCTTAGGAACCAAAAAGCCCAAAGGACCCCCATTGCTAAGGGGCAGACCCGTCCATCAGGTTCAATTTGCATGTTTTCTAAGCCAAAACAAGGCTTTGTTTTTGGTTCACTCTATAAAACTTCGCCTCAATGCTATTCCTAACATTTTGAATTGAAAAGCTTCCTGGATGGGAAGCGAAACTTCTTCAAACTTGGAAACTTTTTTGGAATTAATGCTTAGCTGTGTTGTTACCTGATTAGAAGAAAAAAAAATGACTTTTTTTGTTTGTTTTTAAGCTGGCAGCCAAATATAAAAGCAGTAGTGAATTATTGTAATGTTTTAGCAAAGCTGTAATTAGTAATTAACTCATCTATCAGAATAAAAAAAAGGTGATTAAAGGTCAGGTGTGAACAGGTGTTACAGTTGATGGTCATTTATGAAACTCAAGGAAGTTGCACATAAGTTTTCATGTGTGTAGGGTGTAGAGGGATAGTGTAACATTGGTGTATGTGTTTGCACATGCGTGTCTGCAGTGGCTGAGAAGACCACCGGAGCTGTCGGGAACATCGTCGCTGCCACTGGTTTGGTAAAGAAGGATGAGTTCCCGACTGACATGAACGTAAGCACAGCTCATTACTGCAGTAAAGATTGGGACATCTACCTGAAGTATGACAGATGTACAGTAGCAGCCATTCAAAATGGCCCTTTCCAGTCAAACGCCAGCCTAATGGCAGCCCACTTCCCTGCGACTCCCATCAAAATCCCCTCCAACATTCAGCCGCTGGCCTTTTCCTTGCCGTTCATTTTTTTTACACTAACTCCACTTTCACTGAATTACAGGGTCTGACCAGGAGATGACGCTTCTCTTTAGATCTTAATGTCCACAAATCACTACAGAAATAATATTTTAGTACAGAGATTGATGTTTAAAAAGGAATTGTAGGAGACCAGTCAAGGGCCAATCAAGGAAAGTGGGGACATTTTTAATGGCTGCTACTGTAATAACCTATAAATGAGATATCAATTTTTTCCCCAAGACCTTATTGTGTTGCTGAGATCACAAATGCTAACCTGCATCCAGAATCTAACATCATGGTCATTTCTATAACAAATGAGAAAATCAAAGCACAGATACATTTCCTGAGGTATACAGATGTGAAATAAACACTTATTTTACAAAGTAAGGTATTTTCTTTAACCTTAAAGTTTTAACCAAGTGTTTCTAGACAAGACTGTTAGGTAGTCCTACATCTAGGCGATTGTTGATGAGTTTTTGCCAAAGCAGAGCAGGCTGAATCATGTTTAATGCAGAAAGTACCCTCACAGTGCTGTCTGTCTAAATGAGAGCAGGTTTGTTAATGCAGGTATATGATGACTTCTTTTACTCCAACTCCACAGCAGACTGCTGGGGGTCCTAGAACTTTTTGCTTTCATGCTCAGATGGATCAACATGAGTTTCTCTTGGACCTTCATGATGTCGGTTGTCAGGGCAAAAGGTCTAATTCTAACCCAAATTAAACACAACATACTTTGAGCTTCAGTCAGTTGTGTCCATTGGGCATGCTTTAGAGAAGAAAGTGCAGCGTCTGTGTCTTTGATACATAGGGCCAAGGTTAGCATATTTGCTGTGCCAGGAAGGACACCCAGTGTAAACATTTTTGCCAACCTTGGATGAACCCTGCAGAAGGGAGCAGCGGAAAGGACTTAATCACAGCACCAGATGTGCAGAGAGGACTAGAGGTTTATTTACCGCAGGCAACATGTCGCTTTATGCAAGATACACTGTAGGGTGATGGCTGTATTAGCTTTCATCCATTAGCTTTTTATTTATTTTTCCAACACATATAAATATATATATAGAGAGAAAATAATCAGGAACTACCTTCTAATTCCAGGTAAGCTTTGAGATTTGAGTGTAATTACTAGTAACTTGAGCATGTACCCCATGTGGATTCTTCACCTCATATAAGCAGGTCTTTCTCTTAAGTTCATATATTGTCAAAGTGTGTCTGGGGATCAGTGAGCAGACCTTATTCCCTTCCTGTAGCATTAATCCTACAATGTTGAACTTTACTGCTCCACTATTTCGCCTAGATAATAAACCTGACAGCTTATCCTAATTGCCCGCTCAGTGGCTCAATACGAGCCATAAAACACGGTTCACTCTGTATTGAACAATTGGACTGCAAAGGAACAATCTGTCAGAGCACTAGATTTGGTATTTGAAACTGAATAAAATACAGAACAGCATCCTATTGTGTTAGAACGTATTTGAACATGTATAAATCAAAGTTTTTAATTTTCTTTATGGATAAAAGTAATCCAGAAAGTGAGATTATGTTATTCTAGATATAAGTGAAAGGTAACGTACACATAGATGTGTAGCTAAAATCCGGACCCTGTAGTGAAACCAGTCGTTTCCATAATGCAAAACAAAGGGTTTGCAATTAGTCTTTATTTAATATGGAATTAACAAAACCTAATTCTATTAAAATAAAGCTTTAGATATATTTTGAGGCTCGCTGCAAAGAGTAAGAAGAGATAAAAGTGGCTTTAATCTCAGTCTAATCTAATCCATCTCTGAGATTTGCTGACTAACTCATCTTGAAGGGAGTCCTGCTCATGTCCTGCTGGCTTATTGACACCTTTAAAGATCTCCAAATGTTCTTGCTTTGAGTGTTTAAATGTATTCAGGGAACCTGTTGGAGTTTATCAATAGAAATATACAAATTGAATCCTGTGGGGTTTTTTTCTTTCTCTGTAAAAAATCTTATTTTTAGATATATTTACATGAAGATTTTATGTGGCCGTTAAAAAAAAATGGCCAATGTCTGGATTTCATCTAAAATAATGTGACCAATCAGATAACTCTGCTATCAGAGTCAATCTTTTATCACATTCCTTTTTCTCAGTCCGTGATCCATCTGATTATGTGCGTCTTTGGAGTGGTATCCCACGGTGGATCCTCTAAGGCCATGTAAGCTCCTTGGTGGACTTACAACAGAGACACTATCTTGCCACAACATGCCGGATTACAGCTTGTTCTTCCTCTGTGGCCTAATTGACTTGATTAGTGCTGGGTTTAAAAATAAATGACGTGTGACCCACTAGCTTTGTTCACATGGCTAGCAAGAGGAGGACGGTCAAAGATTGAGAGCATTCTTCTTAATTTAAAGGACTCTCAGATTCACATATTTAAATCTGCCTTATTTTAAGGCAAAAAACAGTGAAATGACACAAATGTTTTAAACAAAAAATGAAATCTTGATTTCATTTTTTTTGTTTTGAACAAGAAAGAAAAAGTGAATCCCAATTATTCGTTTAAAGCTGAAGTCCGGTCAGCAAGGAAATAACCAATGGGTCATTATTTATACTTAAAAATAACAAGTTCATGGTGAATGAATTAACTTTAATTTAATCATTAATCATTAAAAAAAAACAAAAAAACAATAATTTTCATCGCTATCACTGAGTTTGAGATTGTCCATTTATGCCCAAATCTAGTAACCCCTCCCTCCTGCCATCTTCCGGCAGTGATGTCACGGTGCGGTTAGCCTAGCGCCATTCTCCCCGCTTTACAAGCAAAACCAATGACACATCTGCAATCAACAACAATTATTGAAGATTTCCAGAGGACTTCACCATTGAAATTCACCAGAGCTATAGTGAAACCGACAATGCCCACGTGCATGGCAGCTGGATGCTGGAATACTTCGGGTAAAAGTGAAAAAAAATGAGTTATTTCACCTTTCCGATTCATGATCCTCCATGGACCGCGTTGGATTGCCAACTTGAAGAGGGAGGATTTGCCATCGAACGTCTGACCAGAGAAAAAACACGTAATATGTAGCCAACATTTGGAAGAAGAATGTTTTCCAGATGACTTGGATAATAGCGCGTTGTGACAAACACCAGATACAGCACTGGGACTTGATTAACAGCCGATACCGCACCGTGACGTCACTAACCAGTAGGTGGAAGTAGTGTTCTTTGACAAACATGGATGCCTCCAGTAAAGCACATTCAAGTCTTAATTAAAAACACTTATCATTTATTGAACAGTATAGAATAATTTTATATTTAAAGCACTTTCAGAAGTTTGAATTCTGAATATGACCGGACTTCTCCTTTAAGAATTTTACTATTTTAATAGTTATCTATAAATATTACTTGACATTATTTTCATTTTACAGCATATAAAAGGACCAAGGCATTTGGATATCATAAAGTGTGTTAGTTTTATCCTTAATGCAAAATTGCTGTTTGAAAATATTAACAATGAAATAAGAATTGTTGACTAGCAGGTTTGTGCTCCGTGTTGCTCTAAATACTCACTGAACTAAGCTTTTTAAAAAACATGATACATTTAGTGTTTTAGTGATTCCTTTGTTGTAACAATGATTCCTGGGAGCAAATTGAACACCAAAGAAAAACAGTTGATTTCTCTTTAAATGGTTGAGAAAGTGCATCAGTAAGGTCACCGCAGCTGACAAGTCTTGTTGTCAGTGACTCGTAAACAATATACCTAAGATGGTTCTACAAATGTAGAAGAACCTTACTGTGAGTTTTTATCAAAATAAAATAGCATTTACATTGCAACAACTATCTAGTAATAATTTCTTAAATTAAGTGTATTTACCTTTGATTTGAGCAGTTAAATAAGACGATCTGCCGATGGAATGAGTATTTTTACTCTTAAAATACCATAATTAGATAATATGCACTTAAAAGAAGACAATGTATTTGTTTAATTCTTATTTCAAATGTTAATTTTCTTTTTCTATTTCCAAAGTGCCTCACTTTCCTCCTCAATTCAAGAAACACTGACTTATCTAGATTTAAATTTTTTTTCCATTGATCACAGGATAGGCTGCAACTATCGCCACGCGATACTCAACCTACATAATAAAGCTTATTGTTCAACCCAAAAATCCATTTGTCCTTCCAATTCTGCCACATTTTAAGGGAATAAAAGAGGCTTTTCAAGTGAATCAGATTTATTCAGACTTAAATCATTGCTGAAGCACCTGCTGAGATATTTTAGATGAAAAAGCTAATGTAATGTTTGCTGAACTATGTATCTTGGTTTTAAAATACTATAATTCATTAGGGGAAAGTAGCTTTTTGTTATTAGCTCTGTTCGTCTTCCAAATTAGAACCTATTACCAATACCAACTGGTAACATACTATTCAGATAGTTGATTATTATAGGTTCCACAGAGGTATGTGAGGGACTAATACAATATAAACTGATAGAAGGGCGGGAAAGAAGAAAATTGCTGCAGTTTTCATATTTCTGGATGCAGGAAATTTGGGTTTTGAGGTTTTTATGAGAAATGTTAGACTTTCAAAGGCAATCTGACTTATTTTAGGTTTGAGGCCATCGATAAAGATTCACATTGGGTTCTAGTTACTAGAAGATATATGCTTATTATAAAACAGGTGAGATCTGGGGCTTTATGAAGAAAATGTTTTTTTAATGTAAATAGAAGTCAAAGCTGTATATAAGCTGTATGTCCTTCTGTTGCTGTTTTCCTCCCTTATTTCTCTCTCTGCTCCTCTCTCTTTATTCCTGCAGCCTGAGGAGTATGGGCAGGAGGCCATGGAAGGCCAGGGAGAGGCAATGCTGGAGCCAGAAAGGGAGGCATATGATGACTCCCAGCAGGTAATCGGCACAAAACAAGCCTGTATGTCTATAGACCATGTCTCAACCTTTTAAAGGCAAATGTCACAATGCTAAAATAAATTGGTGACTGTACTGCAGAGAGTTTATTGGATGATATGAAAAGCATTCGATTGCAGGCAGGAGTGAGTTCATTCACTTATAGATGGAGGGACGTTAGTATTCACAAACTGCATGACTATACATTCAAGTTGGATTGTATTTCAATAGTGCTCCACTCTTTCTCTCTAGTTGTATTCCTCTTGAAGTTGGCACATTATTCACTTTTCATAGAAAAATGTGAAAACTGTGCAAGCCATTCGTCACACAGGGTATTTGACTATAGCACCACCTACCAATAAGGAATAGTGTGTTGTTCTGTGCATAGATACGGGCAGGATGTGAGTCCGACACCAATGGTTATTTTTGGAAATTGACTGTTTGGGGGAAGGCAAACTGTGCAGAGCTGACGGCTTTGGAAACAGATTTAAATAGCCTCAGTATTGTATATGAATACCTCAAAACATAGATTATATAGATACTTTTTCATGTGAGTATATTATGGTGTTTTGGTTTAGATTACAAGGAAATTATATATAAAAAAAAAACATAAAAAGCTTTACGATCTTACAGTGGTAATATATATCAAACCCTACCTAGTTTGATATATAAAGATTAATAAGAGTGATAAATATATTTGTTCTCTAATGCAGAAAGGACTCATATAGCAGCTTTAGTCAGTATCATCCCTGCTCTTCTTTCTCCTGCATCTCTTTCCCCTCCCCCATTTTCTGCTACACAAGCTATGTGCGAGCTCTGTCTCAATGGGTGTGGTGATGACGCTCTTTGCCTCCATGCATTGTGGGTAATTTAAGGATCTCCCTATATTTTTTTTTTAAATATAAAGCCTTAGTGCCTTACAGAGAAAGAGGCTGTTAAAGCCTGTTTAGTGCATCTTTTTTTTTTTTTTTTTTTATATCAACTTAAATCGAGCAGAGACTGTCTATGTTTGGTATTTTAATCCCAATGGGATGTTGTACAGAATTCATCCTCAATCTTGTCCAGGTTTGTACTGCCATCTGTTGACTGGAGCGCAGAAGCTCAGTTGAATTAGAGTGACATCACTCCTAGCAATAAGCTAATATGTGCTACTATGAGCTTCATGTCACATGTTCTGTGCATACATGAATTAAAGAAGAATTTTCCACCATCAGGTTTTATCAACTCGTTAAGCCTAAAACAATAAATTGCAGTGAGAAAATTATTTGATTAACAAGACAGAACTTTTCTTTGGATTCTTAAAACTGTTGAAAAAGTTTTTTGTTCCTTTAATTACTGATACATTAGGAATTAATGGCAGGTTTAAGGCAAAATGTTTTTTTTTTCTTTTCCTCTAACGATAGATTTAGTTTATCATGCTGTAAAGCCATGAAAGAAAGCAACTAATATTAATATTTAAAAAACAGTCAATGAGCTGCCCCATAAAGAAGGCTAAACATCTAAATTATAAGTATTATATATTTTATAATCTCCTTCAATTGAACCTTATTTTTTATTTTATTTGTATTTTATCTTATTTTTTATTTTAATAATGATTTTTTGTTTTTAATTTGTTTTTATATGAATGATTATATATCTTTCATCATTCATCCACGTCTACCTTGATCAGAAGGGAATCCCTTTTTCTAGCGTCATCCGGCTAACTTTTAGGGATCCCAAAGGATTTCCTGGACAGACAGAAAAAAAAAAGTGGAGCATGAAAAAAAAAACAAAGTTAGAACTTAAAGTGACGACTTTTGTGAGAAGTATCAGTTTTACATTTAGCTACAACGGATTATGGAGCCTTAAAGGCAGAGGTGTCAAGTAATGAAGTACAAATACTTTATTACTGTACTTAATTACACTTTTTAGGTATCTATACCTAAAATTACTTATTTTTCTTCTTACTTCTGACTTCTACTCATTACATTTTCACACAAGTATCTGTACTTTCTAATCCTTACATTTTTAAAACAAACGTTACTCGTTACTCTTGGCTTCGGTTTATTGTTTATAAATATTTATTTCCCGTCATGTGCTCCATCCAATGCAGATCATTGGCTCCATCCACATTTAGTGAAAACTATTGTGATTGAATGAGTCATATAACGCAAGCACTCATTGGTTAGCTAAAGGAAATCATCAGAAGCAAGCAGGTGTTCTTCAAACTGCTAACGTGGATTATCTATGCCATGCTACAATGTGGGATTCAGAGAAAGATGTTGAAATGTCTGAAAGGTCGGACACAGGCGAGAGCGTATCGGGAGACGGAGACCAACAAGACCTCCCTCATCCTTGGCCCTATCTCAGAGAATTTTTCAAAATAGTCGAAAAATGTAGCTTTACCTTCATATAGTGGCATCTGTCTGGTTTTTTTTAAAGGTTACTTTATATTTTTATACTTAAAGTAGTTTTTGGAGCACATACTTTGTCACTTTTACTTGAGTAAAGAGGTCAGGTTGATACTTTAACTTTTACCAGACTGTTTTTAAACTGTAGTATCTATACTTCTACTTAAGTAACAAATGTGTGTAGTTTTGACATCGCTGCTTACAGGTGAAGCTGGTATCTACTGTTAGTTTTTTAATGGTCATGGTCTAAATTAATACCTTTGCCTTTTCGCGGTGCTCTTTCTTCATAACAGTATTGGGGTGACTGGATTAATGCAGAGGGGCCAGTCTAGATTTTTTTTTTTCAGGCAGAAATAGCCTCACACTTAGAGGATCTGACACTCAACCCAGCAAACCGCTCCACTGCATCCTGGAGGCTGAAAACATAAAAACCAAATCATCTGAAAAAAAGAAAATATGGAAGCCTGTGGTCCCCAAACCACACACTGTACACAACTGTACCCATTAGGGGGACGACATTTATCGTACCATTTATCAATATCATGACAAACTTCTGGTCATCAAACAATCCTGATTTAAAGTATAAACCAGGGGTTTGATCGTTGATTAAAACAATCCTCTGCATCGTTATTGTGATATTTTTGTCACTGATTTATGGAGTAATTACAGTACATACATGAATTTTCTCTGTGGAATAATTGTGACCTGCCCCTCGCACTCATCTTGTTTTGCTTTTCCTCCAGGAGAGCCAGGACTACGATCCGGAAGCATAAATGCAGAAGTCCGAATCACCATACAACCAGCAGCACAATAACATTTCTACCAATAAAAAGGACAGATGCTGAAGCTATTACAATTATATCCCTGTTGCAAAAAAAAATCCAAGAAAAAACGCAAGCATTCCCAGTGAAAAATGTTCTTCCTTCAAGACAAATCTTTTAATATTAGTATATATTGTAAATGTCATGTTATTAATGTAATGTGTTGGGTGTAGGTATTTATTAATGTAGAATTTGTCCTCTCAGTCTCATTTCCTTGATTCCCTCCCAATGAAATGAGACAAGAGCCAGGACTTGTGACTTTGTATTTGTGCGTATCTGTATCTAGAAATGTGCAATAGATGTTCATCAACTTCCAATGAGACATTGGGAGTGAAAGCATAACAATAAATAAGTAAATATGACCTGTTGCAAGCAGATATGAGAACAACAATACCCTCTTAAATGTCGACAATGCCTGTTTGTGTTTTTTTTTTCTTCTTCTTTCTTTTTTTTGCATTTTTTTGGAGATGGGCTTGTTTTTAAAGTAAGAGTTTTTTACATTGTATCTTTATAGTTACTTGTGAAATCATTCCACTAAACTGTCTGTTATAAACCAACAGAGTGTACATGTTTGTGTGCGTGCGTGTGTTTGTGTACTCGAGATTTTAACAAGTTAAAGTCAATATAAGCTGTCTTGGAAACATAATGGTTGTCATATCAATATGTGCTTTAAATTGCAGGTCTTGTCAATATAAAGGTTTTCTGTGTTAAGCCAGACAACAAATCCTCTGTAAATAAAAAGTTTGAAAAACAAATGTGTTCTTTGCATTTACTTTTTTTCTCTGCTTAAAATGACTGTCTGTGTCATTGTTTGCCATCATGAAATGCTTTCCTCTTTTGCTCAGTTCTGTCTGGGGGTTTGCTCAATAGATAGGGGGGAAAAACCGCTGAGTAGACTGAAGCTCCTCTGGCACGAATGTCGCCATTCTTAGGATGCCAGTTTGATTATGCCTATTTGAGTGGGTTTTATATCAGTTAATCCGCCTGGAGCGAGCGGGCTTAGGCCTGAAATGAGGTGCGGTTGGGGTGGAGGGGTTGTTTTTAAACAGTCCCTTCCGTCCCTCTTGTACCAGACAGAGAAGCTGCAGAGTCAAACACAGGAACCATGGCTTCATTTAAGAAATCCTTTGAGAGCCTGAAAGCGGGGAGCCATTCAGCTGCAAAAGGAGTCACAGACACTGCAGGTACAATACCAAAACAACAGACTAAACGATTAGATCTTTTATCTTCTACTGATGCACTGCAAAAACGATATAGAAACAAGAAAAAAGTTTTTCCGTAAAAGTAAAAAAAAAAACAATCCAATGGACTTATTTTCCAAGGTTTGAAGACGTTTCACTTCTCATGCAGGAAGCTTTCTCAATTCAAATGTCTCAATTCAAATGACATTAGAACTGAGAAAGCCTCCTGGATGGGAAGCGAAACGTCTTCAAACCTTGGAAAATAAGTCCATTGGATTGTTTTTTAAGCTTTTACGGAATGACTATGACCTGGATGACTGAGAATCTTCATCGGCCAGAAAAAATATCTTAAAGTGTATTTACCTTTAATTTGAGCAGGTGAATAAGATAATTTGCCAGTGGAGTATTTTAAGTCTTAAAATAAGATAATTAGATAATATGCATTTGGAATAAGACAAAGCAATTGTTTTTTCTTCCTTTAAATGTAAATGTTCTTTTTCCATTGCCAAAGTTTCTCACTTACCTCCTCAATTCAAGAAAATTGCACCTTTTTTTAGAAAGAATTTAAGATTTCAGTTTTTTTTTTGCAGTGTGGCAAATCAAAACATGTGTTATTAGATGGGAAATACAAGACATCACATCCTGTGTAGATTTGAAGTTTTAAACAGCAGAAATTTCCCATTTCGCTGCGAATGTCTGATAGAGCTTGTGATGTTTTCAGTGCAGGCAGCTCAAGAGGCTGTGCAGCAGGTGGCAGACTCCTCCAAAGAAACTGTCAGCACAGGTAAAGTTCACCTTGTTCTCTGCACTAACCTTGTTTAACAGATAGTCTACTTTAAAGGGGTGATGTGGTTAACTGAAAAACATGACAGAGATCTAAGATTAGGATAAAACATTTATGGGCTTACTGTGAGTCACAGCAGAGTAAAGTAAAAGTTTATAGTGTTTTTTTAGAACTTGTACAGAGATAAAAGCATCTCTGAATACTGAGAGTTAAATTTGTTGTTATGCAAAGTTCTTCACGCCCCTCTTTTTTTCTTGCAGTTTGATAGATTACAACAATTTTCTATTTACCGTATTTCAGGGACAGTGTAGCTCTTAAATTATGAAGTAAATAGAAAATTACAAATGCTTTTTTCCCCCCTAATTTTACTTAAAACACTTAATTAATGTTGCATGCATTTATCTCCAAGCTTATTTATTCAAATATACACAAATGCAACCCAGGGCACCTAACTTCTTCAGGGATGAACTAGGTAGTAAATACTAACTAACTTTACCATCAGTTGTTTACATTTATACACAATTTTCCAATAAGACTTCAACTATTTTTTGCTTATATTAATAAATAAGCTTAAAAAAGGCAAAATTATACAGTGAAAATATCAGAGATTATGGTAAGGAGAAATTAAGAGCGTTATGTTATAAATCAATATCCTGAGTTTCGAGTATCTCATAGCGCTGTGTTCAATATATGATCTAATTGGGACAATTTTGACACCACAAAAAATATAACGAGACACGGACATCAGACTAAACTAACAATAGGAGCAAGAGAAGCACTGATCAGAGGCTATTTTCTTTTATTTCCTTAATTTTTAGGACATGTCTCTGTTTTATTGAAGTTTAATCTGTCGATCATCCATTTATTTGAATCAAAAGTGGCAGCAGGGAAACACATGCTCAGCAGTGGGTCCCGAGAACCAGGACAGAAACTACTCAATACAACATGAAGGAAAGGAGGATCTGTTCAGATGAGAGCAAAATGATGCCAACAAATGTGAGGCGGGACACAAATCTATTAAAACAACCCTTCTTTTTGGTGAAAACCCGCTGTAGCACATCATTCTCTGGACTGTGACTGTGTCCAGCAGCAACAGGGCAGTTCAAGAAGAAAATACATTAAACTGAGGTAAAGGTTTACACCTCTGCAGGACAACAAACTTAAACTGACACAAGGAGAGCAACAATGGTATGGTTTATTTTTAAAGCGTTTGAATATTTTTTTTATTGTTTTATTTATTTGTTTATTTGACAGGGACAGTTCAATTAAACATTGCAACCAAACAGATGGCCCTTCTCCAAGTACATAAGGCTTGTAGCCATGGGCTAATTTGCAGCCTTCGTCGCTGGTTAGGCTTTTAAAAGGTGTTAGCATTAAGGGGGAGGGAGGTTAGTAACGACACACAGATGCATAAAAAAGCAAGAAAAGCTAGAACCAAAAAAAAAAAAATGTACAGTACAAGCCAGTTTAGTGCTCACACTCTTGATTGTCTTTGAGCCATTTTTTCAATCTTGTGGAGAAAAGTCGAATATCAGTCTGTGACTTAAGCTCCAGAGGCAAAGAGTTCCAGAGATGTGATGCTTTCACTGAGAAGGCGGACTGACCCATAGATGTCAGACAGGATTTAATAAAAGTCTAGATTTAAAACCTATTGTAGGAAGAAGACTAGTAGATTTATATTTAAAAGTATTCTTAATCACACTTAAAAAAAAAGATGTTAAAAAATGTAAACAAATAACATTCTTTTTACATGTGCAAAGTTGGGGGATATAATGTAAAAGATGCAAATTCAAAATTGCACTAAAATTTTACTCTGCAAGGAATGGGCTCAGGATGAATGTAACACTTTTTACATGTTTTTATTTAGAAAATTAAAAATCAAAATCACATATCCATCCAGTTTTAAGTTTGAAGCCAGAATATAATTCATGAAGGCTTATATATGTGTTCCAAATACTGTATATTCAGGTTTTATTTTAAACGGAAATGTTGGAATTAAATCAAATGTTGCCTAAAATAAACATATTTTGCTTTGTTAGAATTATTTCTTAAACTTTCTTCCAATGTTTCTTATTTTCTCCCCTTTTTTCATGTTTGGATTCATTTCAGCTGCACAAGAAGCCAACAGGCAGACTCAGACCGCCATCGGAAAAGCTGCCAACAAGGCCACGGACACCATCAAGGATTTTGGACAGATAATGGAGACCAAATAAACTGTTTAGGCTAAATGCCTGGTTGGCTGGTCATCTACTATGGCTCTTCTGCAGCCAATAATGAGTGGGGATAAGAATTTTCTGTGCAGTGCTTTTCACTAATTTAACATTCCTCCAGAAATTTTTAGGAAATGTCTTTTTCTCCAGTTCTCCGCATATATTTTCATGCTTTATAATGCATTTGAATATGTACATGTATTTTTGGCAAATAAACAGGAGACATCGTCTCTCTTAGTATTATGAAATCTGATTTTTAACAGTGCAGCGGTGGAGCTAATGCTGCTGCTAACTGTACCAGTGTTGTCTCCGTGATGCAACGTGTTGTGCGCTGTTGAAAGCACTCATCAATGAATCACCACAGTCATCATTACTGGCAAATCAGTAAGGAGATGGCCTTTGACAGGCCGATAGCTCCTGATGGGAGTGTGATCAGAGCTTGTCTACCTTAGCGCCCAGCCTCATGCCTCCCTCCATCACACTATGTGGTTGCTAGGCAACAGAACTCAGGGCCAGTATGTGATTGGTTTAGGCCTTCGAATTGAGAGCGAGCCTCCTTCTGCCAGTACATGCTGTTCCTGCCATGCTCACAGTAATGGTAAAGCTAGGGCAGATATTTTTATATATCCTTCCTGGCTTTATATATTTATATATACATGTATACATATATATATATATATATGTGTGTAGGCCAGATGTAAGTAGAGAGAACGATAGAGCCAAATTAACATAAAATACCCTTTATCATGATTATACAAAGGGATGTTTATCCAGCAATGTTTTATAAAGAGGTTTTCAGGGTGAACAGGATGAAAGTCTTGCTTTAAGAAGTGGTTTGCTGTGTGGGAGGCACAGCTCTTCTTCCTCCAGGCTCCTTCAAGCTGAAATTCTCCCTTGTCTTTTGTTTACAGAGAAACATCATCTCTAAGATTTATTTTGCTGCTCACAAATCTTGGTGTGAGGGATTGATTTTCTGGAATTCGGCAGTAATTTTTAAATGCATTAAAAAGAAATCACTATGATTTCTGTTTGATTTCAAAACACATTGACACGCTTTACCCTCCCGATACAGGCCCTCACACTTAATCCCTGTGACATAAGATGTTTATCACGTGTTTCTCCAAAGTGATTCTCCACTAAAAGGTAATTTTCCAGATCAAAAGTTTATCTGTCTGCTTGTTGTTTTCCATTGTGTGGCGGTGAGAACCTGTGCTTAATTACAATGATTTATGTATGATTAGAGAGCACAGCACAGATTTTGTCATTACATTACCACTCGCTTACCAGAGCTCAACGCTGGTTTCCAGGGAAACTGGAAATGGGAGGCTTTTTTTTCTTTCCCATAGACAGAGCTACAGCCTAAAAGAGCGAGGATTGCCTAAGATAGATTCTTCTAGAGACAAACCTGAAGTCGTTGCAAACAGAATCAATCATACCGGGGGGAGATGCACAGACAGATGTTGGTCTCTGTCAGGGGGCTGAGATTTCTGGCATGTTTGACCCAATTCTGAAGAAGTCTGACAGAGAGGTCCGACTTTGCTGCTGAGGTACGTCTATGCATTGGATTTTTAACGGTTTGT